GGATTTCTTTTTCTCATAACAGTTAGTGTCTTGTATATACCTTATAAAATTTTCTCTCTTTTTTTTGGTCAAAGCTAATGACTTATCTTTTACAGCTCTGGTTTTATGAGCACACATCTTTGGTCATTTCTGTCGCTCCTGAGACCAGAACTCGCATGTTGAAGTGACCCACAAATGTGAGATGAAACTCGTCACCAATTCATATAGTATTTAAAAGGCTCAACCCTGTACATGTAAGTCATTTATATCATTAGCTAACATTTTTATTATTGGAAAATTAGACTTGTTTAATTTATGTTGTACTTATGTGTTATTAGAGCTGTGTTGTATTTATGTGTTATTATCTGTTGTTTCTGTTGTATCCTGGTGTTATTGTACTATCATGTAAGTGTTATTATGGTATTATTTAGTTGTTCTTGTGATGTGTTGTTTTATTTTTTTTTGTTATTATATTGTTATTGTTGTGTTTGTAAGAGATTTTTGTTGTATGTTTTGTTGAGGTGTTATTTATGTGTTATTTTGTTATTTTTTTGGTGTTATTTATGTTTTATTGATATGTTTTAACGAGATGTTACTCTAGTATTGTTATTCCTGGTGTTACTGTTGTATGATTATGTAGCTATTACTCTGGTAGGTTTTATTCTGTTATGATTGTGTTATATATGTGTTAATTAGGTGTTATTTAGGTGTTGTTCCTAGTGCTTTTTAGGTGTTATTCCTGGTGTTATGTCGGTGTTATTCCTGGCGTTATGTCGTTGTTATTTAGATATTATTTAGGTGTTAGTTAGATTTTATTTATGATTTTATTTCTGGTGTTATTTAGGTGTTATGTAGTTGTTATTTCTGGTGTTATTTGGGTATTATTTAGGTGTTTTAGGTGTTATTTATGACGCTATTAGGTGTTATTTAGGTGTTATTAAGCGTTATTTAGGTGTGATTTAGGCGTTATTTAGGTGTTTTATTGTGGTGCTATTCCGATGTTATCTTCGTGTTATTCTTATATTTTTTCTTTATGTTATTGGAATTTTAATTATGAATGTGTTGTAATTCAGTATTTCATTGTAGGTTTATGATATTTTTTTTGGATTTGAAAAAAGATGAGCACCATTTGTTTGCTAATCCACACAGAGGACTACTCAGTCCAGTTAGGCCATGCCCACACCATGAAACTCACAACACACCACATTCACCCATATGGTATGGGACCACTCGTTTCAAGCGACATTACCCTGGAGACAACATATACTGGAGTCAATAAAAACCATGAAGTATCCAACTACTTAGAGCTTAGGAAAATAGTTCATAGAATTTCAAGGATCAATCAATATAATAAATACACATGTCTTGGATTTATAAGAGACAGTGTCAGAACTCAACAAAAATTGATAAAGGCATTGAGTTGAAAGAAAAAGAGACCCACCAATCCTCCCCTGTTAATGAAAACAATTAGTTCAACGAAAAGGGAATCCACCTATCATCCCATGTTGACGAAGACAATGAGTTAAACAAAATGGGAACCCACTAATCTTCCCTTTTTGATGAAGACTGTGAGTTACCGGATAAATGAGCTCATCAATCCTCCATTGACAGCTTAATCTGAAGGGTTAAGGCCAAACGAAGCAGAAGGAAGAGGAAATTGATTTCCCCTTTTACTAATTTCGAGTTTAACAAAAGAAAAACAATAAATGAGGTTATGGAGAAATATCCTAGAGAATATGTTTATATATTCCAGCCGTAAGGGTTGAGGATTTGACTGTATATATTGAAGTTACAAAAGAAACAATAGTAGACACTGCTGTAGATACTCGTGCCATAAAGGGAGAACAAACAATAACAGAACACGTACATACTTCATTCATTTTAGAACAACCAGTTATTGCCCTTGCTAATGAAATAACAATAAAGGTTGTTGTAGTCAGATCGAAAAGGGCCTACATATAATAATAACACCTGTTGTGCATAATATAGCCATTGGGAAAGAGCAACCACTAATAGAACATGTTGGCACTTCAACCATTTGGGATGACCAAGTACAAGGAGATTCTAATGAAGTAGAAGAAGAAATAAAGGACGTTGCTCAATCTCTAGCCCTTACATTAACAAGTTTAAGAGATCAGCGAGAAGGTGTCCACGCAGAGGATTATCAACTAGTGGTATTATTAATGACTTGTTATACAGTGTCCTATATGTTCTAATTTGACATTATATTTTTCATGAGTTGTGTTGTTATGCAGCCTCGTCTCGTGGCGTCAATTATCGATTTTTTTGGCAGATCACTGATATCTTTTTAAATGAAAGGAGTGATCGATGAATGTATTTCAATGTACACTGGGACTTGAGTAAATCTTCACCTTTTTTATGTGATTCAATTATCTTATATTTAAATGTCACAAAGACTTTATGCTAACGTTTCAGGGATGATCTTATGATTAATGACGGTCACGTTGTAGTAGACTATGTTGGGGTCGAAGATATACTAAACAACGACTAGATTGCAAACGAACATGTAGATGCCTTTGTCTCCATGTTGGACAGAAGGAAGGAAACCTCTTCTTATTCGTACAAGCCATACCTATATGTATCACCATTATACTGGGTAATCATATACATTCAATTTAAGCTTACAATGCTAACTCAAAGTTTCTTAGTATACTCCATCCACTACGACATTTGTGTCATTTCAGGCAAACTGGTTATTGTTGGTTGGGGATTTGAAAGAAAGAAAATAAAAATTATATGATTCTTTACCCAAGAAGATGGACATGGTCGTGTGCCACAACGTTGTAAGTATACTTGACAAAATCTTTAAATCCAACTCAGCATTGTCCATGCACTAATCAATACCACATAAATCTTTACATATCAGTCAATTTGCAAGAGATGTTGGACATGCTTTCAGGGGCAAACCATTGAAATGGCCAGTGATATGGGTTAAACATGTTCTCACTAAAAGTAATAACGTTGACTGCAGCATTTTCGTCTGCAAATACATGGAAGAATTAATACAGACTTGCCGAGGTGACTGGAGTAATGAACTAGATTGACAGGCAGAAATGTCAAATTCAGAGCAGAATTTGCCTATACTCTTTGTTTGTAGAGTCTGTCTCGTATATAAACGATATTTTGTTGGAACTTGTTTTATTTGATTAATGAATGTTGAGATGGTTAACTGATTTTACTGTGTTAGGTTTATTGATACCTTATTAACATTCAAATAACATGACACTAATGCGGCAAACATAAATAACTTCACAAACAAGCTCAAATAATACCACAACAATACCTTAATAACATCTTAATAATATGACATTAAGAAAATTGATAACACCGCAAAAATAACACTGCGGAAAACTCTGATAACATCGTAGAGAACTCTGATAACATCGCGGAAAACTCCAATAACCCAATGAAAAACTCCAATAACACTGGAAAACATTGCAAAAAAAGCTGTGGAATAATCCAATAACATGACCGGGAAGTCTAATAACACCAGGGAGAGTCTAATAAAATCGGAGAAAAACTACGCCAGTAACACTACGGAAAACCGCAATAACACCGCAGTATAACTCCAATAACTCTACAAAGAAACTCAAATGATACCTCAATAACACCTCAATGACACGACAAGAAGAAGTATGATAACACTGCGGAAATAACAATGCAGAACTCCAATAACACAGCGGAAAACTCTGCCAGAAAACAACTCCAGTAAAACAATGGTCATACATATAAGAGAGCCCAAATTTGTAATTTCGCATGTCCAAAGATCAAAACCAGTTTCTGAGCTAGAAGACAAAACCAAGAGCTACCCTTACCTTAATTTCAATATCTAGTACTCTATTCTCTGAGAGGTGTTTTCGTATCTCACACTCTAAACTTTTATATTTACATATCACTTATAATTAATTTTTAATGTGATATTAAATATTTAAGTTCTATATATATGTAAATGTGAAAACTTGAATATGTAAATATGAAAATTTAATTGTTAGATATGTAAATGCATAAAAATTATGTGTCTTTATAAATATCCCATAAATTAAAATAAATTAAATTATTTACATAAATGCTATATTGTTTTAAAATATTTAAATATATAATCCATAATATTTAATATTTATATGCATAAAATTGAAACATTTAATATTGCATAAACAAATATCATTATCATTTATTTTCTTAAAGTGATATAATTTTTTTTATAAGTATATTCATCACACAAAAATTTTATAAATATAAATATAAAAATTACGTAAAATGTCAAAATAGGCTCGTGCTATTTAATAAAATCATTTTAATCCAAAAATTTATAAAAATATCAAAATAATCATCAATTTTTAAATTGTAGCTAAAATATTTTTCATAAAGATCTATTAAAGCTCAATTTTAACTATAATTTAAACATTTTCGGAATTATTTTGATGTTTATGTAAACTCTGGGAGTAAAAGGTGAGAATTATTTTGGCACATTATAAAAATTTAAATGTTAAATATATGAATTTACAAGAATTTAATAATAAATAAAAAATTTCATGATTTACATAAATTTCAGGTGAATATCCTTCTTATCATTTCCAAATAGGCTCGCTCGTATTTGACTCGTTTATATCTCAAGCTCAAAAAGTGTTTTCGTGTTCGGCTCGTTTGCTTAGTGACGACCGGAACACGAGTCGTTCACGAACAAAGAATTATTTTGACAATCTTAATCATGTAGTCAAAAGATGTTAGGGATTTAAACAAGATTTAAAACATCATTTCAATCTAATTTAATAATTTTTATTCTATTTTTTAATTAATATTTTTAATTGATTATAAATCTTTATAGCCTTGTACTCAATTAAATTTATATATATATATATATTATATATAAAATTGATTAGTAGTATTTAGAACTAAAACGATCCAAATATATAATTGATTAGTAGTATTTAGAATTAAAACGACCCAAACATAAATTTGTTGCTCCTTAACTTAGAACGAGCCTAACACGAGCTTCGATATTGAGCCTGCGAACAGCCCTATTTACAAAGGCCACCCTAAGCACCATAACTTCAACAGCGAGCCTGTGAAGCTTTCTAGGGTTTCCAAGCGGAGAAGAGTGGAAGACGGCAATGTTCTCGCATCGGAGACGCCTCCCCGACGAAGACGACCTACTCCGTTCCCCCTACGGCAAGCGCCACCACCGCAGCTCTCCTTCCCCTTCTCGCCGCTCAGCCACTCCCCCCAACAAAAGTCGCCGGTCTTCCTTCTCCTCCTACCTCGATGTCCCCAACCTACCCTCCAAGATTCGTCTTATATGCGAAATCATCGCCTCTTCACACTCAATTGAATCATCTCTCAACGATCAGGGTATCACCATCACCTCCGATGACGTCGAGGAAGTCCTCAAGCTCTCCTACTCCCACCCCGCAGCTGCCATCAAGTTTTTCCGCTGGAGTGGCCCCCGCATCCGTCAGCAGCTGTCCCCTTACTCATGGAACCTTGTTGTCGACCTCCTCGGCAAGAACCTCCTCTTTGACGCCATGTGGGACGCCGTGGCCTCCATGAAATCCGAAGGCCTTGTGTCCCTCGCCACCTTTGCTTCCATCTTCTCCTCTTTTGCTGCCGCGAGCCGCCCCACTGATGCCATTGCCGCCTTCGAACTCCTCGTGCATCACGGCATTCCCCAGGATACCACTGCGCTGAATTCCCTCTTGTCGGCGCTTTCTCGCGAAGGTCTCACATCAGCCGCACTTGATACCTTCCGCCATATTTGGCTGAGAATCCCTCCCGATTCCGATTCATATGCCATTCTTCTCGAAGGCTTTGAGAATGAGAGGAATTCTTCTGGTGCATACGAGGTTTTTGATGAAATGATTCTTAAATTTGGCTGGGATCCAAGCAATGTTCCAGCTTACGACTCTTTCCTCAATACAGTCTTATCCCGCGGCAGAAGCGGCCTCGATGAATCCCTGAGGTGGCTGGCGAAGATGAAGATGCAAAGATGCTTCCCTGGCGTCAAGTTCATCGTCAACGCCATCGATGCTTGTGGTAAGCTCGGCGACTCGAAGGCGGCAATCATGCTCTGGGATAATCTCGTAGGCAGAAATGGAATGTTACCCACCACAGAGTTATACAATTCGATGATCTCTCTCTACTGTGATTTGAATCATTTGGAGGCCGCTTATCGATTCTTCGACGAAATGGTGCTCTACGGCGCGTTTCCCGATTCAACAACTTATGAGTTGATGCTTCGGCTTCTGATCAAGAACAAGCGGCGCGAAGAAGTTCCCGTGTTGCTTAACGAGATGCTGAAGAACGAGTTCGTTCCAAGCACGGCGATTTGTGATTCTGTGATGTATCTGTTCATGGATATAGGGGATTCTGAAACTGCTCTGAAGGTCGGGAAGATTATTATCGAGAAGGGGATTGCCGATGAGCGGATTGGGAACTCCCTGATTCTTTATTTGCGGGATCATAATCTGCTGCCGGAAGCTTGCAAATTTGCGGAGAATTTGATCGATAAAGAGATAAGATTGCACTCTTCCACGCTGTCGAAGTTGAAGAGCAGCCTGCAGCATTTGGGTAAGGGTTATATATATGAAAGCATTCTTACAAAATGGCAAAAGTTTTCCAGCGAGCGAATTTTGTAGATTTGCAGTGCTTTGATGTTAGAGTTTTGGTAATGCACTATTTGCTTACCTCCATTAATTTAGTTATTTATGCTGAGAGAACTTAATTGAGGTGCAACGTTTTAAGTTATATACTGCAGTTTACTTTCTTCTGAATTTTACCTTGAGGTTCCATAAAAGTTCTTTTTTTTGGGGAATTTACATGCATACCACAAAATTCTTATGGATTTACTTATTAGACACCAAAAGTTTGCTATTTACACTTTTAATAATGCCTTCGTTCCATAAGCCTATGCATGAAAAGGTGTATTTCACTTTTAAAGAGATACGGATTGTGGTATTTTTGCATGATCTGAAGGATTTGAGTAGTATGCATGTAATTATGAATGCTTAGGTGTTTGTTATGTAAATACATTAGAATTGTGTGGTATGTATGTAAATGCCAATAGTATTAATTTATTTTCATATTTTTGTTACAAGAGTAGGATTGGGTAATGAAGATTTATAAGGCTGACTCGAAAAAATAAGGCTGACTCAAAAAATTTGGGATAAGATGGAGGAGAACATTTAGAAGCTTTTACTTTATTACAATTATCTTAGTTTGATGTTTTAGTGGCAAATTTGTATGGCTTTATCAAGCACAGGGTTGCTCAAGCAATTCTTAAGTCTGTTTTCCTTATATGAAAATCTGTTTTTCGAGTTGCAGAGCTGAATATTGTCCTATGATGAAAGGGGTGTACTTTCTTACATTAGCTTCAAATGAATTAGGTAAATTTACATTCGTAGTTCACAATGCTCATGTATTTACATATCTCACCCGTAAAGTTTCATACTTACATACATAACACTTTGGTGCTTCAAACATATGCGTGAAGGTGTATTTCACTTTTAAGAAGTGGTAATAGTGAAATTGTTGATTTGAGTGCTATGTGTGTAAATATGATAGTTATGGTATGAGATGTGTAAATACATAAAAATTGTGTGCTATGTATGTAAATTCCTTAAAGAGTTAAGGTCATAATTCTTCTAAATCAAACTATAGGGAAATCCATAATGGAGGCAATAATGTATAGCCATTAATTAGCGGAGCTTGTGTAAAATTAGCGGAGCGTGTGTAAAATTATGTATTTTTATGCGGTGTTCCTTTTTTTTTCTTTTCACTATCAACAATGAATTTAAGTTTCATCTATGTCCTGACTCTCTTACTCATTAGCCACTCTTAAACGCTTAACCTCGACCATTTTACCTACTTGAGGGTAAGGAACATCGAATTGATGGTGGCCATTTTACCTACTTGAGGGTAAGGAACATCGAATTAATTGTGGAATAGTGATCAAAATAGTGATTTCATCATTCCAAAAAGGAATCCTTTTCAAGTGATTACTATAAATCAACTCTCCTGACATTGTTAGCTTGGAAGCTCATGTCAAATATTCCTTAAAGATAAAAGTTGAGAATAAAGCCAATACAAAATTTTTGTTGCACTGATGTGGGAGCGTGCCAGAAGATGCGGAACCGTGACTTTCACACACGTGGGAGGTGTGTGGGATCCTCTACGATATCGGGAAAAGTCAGCAGTTTTGGCCGATCCAACCCGTGGGCCGCAATTTTATATTATTAGAAATAGAATTAGGGCTATTTTAATTTGAGAACTATTTGTTGGGGCATTTCCATGTGTAGTGCACAATTTTTTGCATTCATGTTTTTGACCGCTAAACTTTCATATTTGCACATCTATCACTCAAGTCTTTAATTTCATATAAAAATAGCACTATTATCATTTTTAAAAGTGAAATACATATTTTCATGCATAGATTAAAGCACCAAAGTGTTACCATGTAAATTTGAAAATTTAGGTCTGAGATATGTAACTACATAAGAATTCTTTGCTATGTTTGTAAATTTTCTTTTATTTTATTAGAAATATAGTTAGAACTATTTAATTTTGACGACGATTTATATATTTTTTTGTATCCTAATTTAGGGGATTTTGGCTTTTGGTTTATACAATACAAATTGTTTCCTGTAGTTTATTCTTACCGAGCTTGTATCCTTTGATATTTTATTAGATGTTATGTGTCTGTAGTCTGATTTGATCATGACTTTAATCTCTCCCGGACGTCTGATGACCTCCTCCGCCGCCGGTGTCAAAACCCATCAGTAGTTTCTTCTGCTTTCAAGCGGCGCTATTTGCGTCGGCTTTCAGCCAACATTACTTCTCTGTTCTATGATACTATTATCCTAACCCATCTCTTGATCTGTCTGCACTGTTTAGACCATAGTTCGGTGTCACTCACTCATCTCAAAGCAAAAAAAAATGATAGTAAGTCCTAAACATCCTCATCATATTTAGATCAGAATATCCCCACCCAAAGTATTTACCTATCTACAGCTGCACATAGCACCTAAATTTCATCACATTTAGTGGAAAAAAAAAAGAAGGCAGGAAGCACGAAAAGGTCCTTCCTATATATCTGTCATCCCAACTTTTGCGAGTTCTAAGGACAATACAGTCACGGATTTCACACTTTGTTCTACATCCTGTTCATTTGAAATTTAATTTGCAGCCTCAATTTATTTCAGTAAATGACTGAAAAAGATGGAAAAGTATGCTGAAACTGAAGCTATTTCTGCTGCCATGTCGTGCTATTTCACGTGGAAAATTGTTTTGAGAACTTTATCTAAGATGTATGCAATTCTCTCATATTCTCTTAAATTTTCTTTCAAAGCTGCATTCTTCAATTTTCATGTTATGTGATATGTGCATTGAATCTGCACAGCTTGTCTCAAATGCATGCGGCCTTTTTTTAGTCCCAAAGTTTATAGAAATATCAAAACAGTCTCTGATTATTTTAAAATTGTGTTCTAAGTATTTTTCATGAGAATTATCGCAACCTCAATTTTACAAATATGTACTCTTGAATTTAAATATTGTAACTTTGGACTCTCTTTTGATGCACTTGCTCTACGGATATTGTATGAACTTATTAATTTTTTGTTTGAGTTACATATATATCACTCAATTCATATTTATTTACATTTCTTTTACATGTTACACCTCTACGCTTCAATTTTTATCAAACAAAATGTGGTTGAGTTTATGTTTTTTAAGGAATTAATTTTGTTGATTGGAGCTACGTCTTAATAAGGCGCGCATTTTCTGTTCGGACACCTGACGTACCTCTACGTGTGGCGCATGCTATTCCAGAGTTATTTTCAGGTTATTTCTGGGTTATTTTCAATAATCCTGAAATAACCCAGAAATAACCTGCGGTCGTTATTTTTAAGTTATTTCTGAAATAACCTGAAAATAACTCAGGAATACCCTGCGCCGTACGTAGAGCTACGTCAGGAGCTCGCACAGAAAAATTTTTGCTTAATAAGAGCCACTGATGAACAAGTTCAATTGATGCACATTTAAATGCACCAACTATTATCAATTGATATTTGGGGCATTTACATACATAACATATCATTCTTATGTATTTATATTTCTAACAACATTTTTTTTTGCATTTATACCACCCAAATATTTCATGTCACATCTAAAGTGCCTATTTTAAAACGTGAATTGTCGGCAAAAATTGAAGTTTGGGTGTTATATGTGTAAATACATAGGAATTGAGTGGTATATGTATAAATCTTAAATCATGTCACTCTATAATGCCTATTTTAAAACGTGAATTGTAGGCTAAAATTGAAGTTTGGGTGTTATATGTGTTAATACATAGGAATTGTGTGGTATTTGTGTAAATCTTTAAATTTTTTGGCTCCCATTCGACCTGTTTTACAAATAAGTCAGATTTTCTTGTTTGTAAAGTTTGTTCTATAATATTTTAATTTAAAGGAATTATTGTAATTTTGAATTATCTTTTTGCGATAATTACATACAGACCACCCGAAACATTCATATTTACATTGTTGATTTTTTTCAAAACTATTTAAAATTGTAATGAAAGATTTACATGCATGCCCCTCAATTCTTATGTATTTATATCCAACGCCTAAACTTTCATTTTTACATATATGCCACTTTATCCGTACACGAGATAGTGTGTTTAGTGTTTTTTTATGTGATTGAAAATTTTGGTCGGTTTAAATGTAAAAATTAATTTTAGGTGTTAGATATGTAAAGGGTGGTGTGTATGTAAATCCACAAATATTTATTTATTTTTTAAAATTTAGCAGATCCTCAATCCTGATAATATTATCAAAAGTTTATAAGTCATGATACTCTTATAAATAGTGATATGTATGTACTTATCCTAAGAAAAAGTATATTACATTTCTCACCCTCAAAAATGATCTAATAACTATTATCATACCAAGATTTACAAATTTACATATCTAAGATCAAAACTTATTTTACACACATATAACCTTTCATATGCACAAAAATGCACATTTCATTTTTTAAAGTTAAAATGATGATGATTTTTATATGGCATGAAAAATCTAATGGTATAAATGTAAATAAGCAAAGCTGATGTTAGATATGTATATCGAAAAAATATTACATCAGGACTCCTAACGTAGAGCTACGTTCGGATTGCAATATTCGACTGTGTTACGTGAATATTTAATTTGCGTTATTTGTAAAAATGATGTGTTATTCGAGTATTATATGGTGTTATTCGATTATTTTGCGCTGATATTGAAATATTTCATCGCGTTACTTGATTTGGGGCTGAAATATTATTGGAATATTTCCTGCATTAATTGATTTGGGATTGTGTTATTCAAATAACATAGTGAAAATTGAAATAACACGGGCAATGTGCCGAATAATATAGCCCCAAATCAAGTAACGCGATGTAATATTCCAATAATACCGTAAAATAATTGAATAACAATATATAATACTCGAATAACATAAATATTCCAATAACACCACAAAATAATTGAATAACAATATATAATACTCAAATAACATATTTTTTTATAAATAACATAAATGAGATATTCTCGTAATACAATCAAATATATCAATCTGAACGTAACTCAACATTAGAAGACCTGATGTAATATTTTTTGGTAATAACAATTTCGTTGCATGTGAATAAACCCTACCCTCCCGCCAATACCCATTTTTTTTATTTTATATTCTGCAACCAAATAATGGAGTTTGGGGCTTCAGCAGCTGAATAAAAAGTCTTTCTCGGGAAGGAAGGAAAGTGGACAATGAGGAAGAGGAAAGCCCCCATTCATCGAGCTAGAGCACGCCTGCCTGGCTGCGGGGGCGGCGCCGGGGGTGGCGACGGCGGCGAAGGTTGTGGTGGCGAGTATGAAGAAGTCGATTCCCGCCGGCGATCTCTCTCACCATCTCGAAAGAATGCCTCGTTTTCCTCTTTACAAGCTTTCCGGTCCTCCTCCTCCGCCTCCTTCTCGCTTCCAGAGAAAGCTTATGGAGGTATCGGATGGTTTGGATGCTCCCTCCTCTATCGGGGATGGTGTGGTGGAGATCCCGGGTGATCGCGATTGCATCCTGAGCCAAGATTTTTTCTGGTGAGTTGTTTCGGAGATGGTTTGTTTGATTTCTTATTGCATTTTTGCAGTTGAAATTTTATTTTATCTTACTTCTTTAACTTTTAAGTTTGTATGAACTATTGCGTAAGGACTCGTTTGGTTGCTTGTAAATGGAACTACGCTTTGAGAATTGTTGGTTTTGTTTTGGTTAATTTACATTGATTTTGCTAAGATTTGTGGATTTTAAAATCAATTTTGAATTAACTGATTGAATTAGTTTTTGTCTTCAAGCCACCAAATGTGCCCTAGAAGCAGATAGAAGAGGAATTGAATTTCATGACAATTTAGAAATAAAGAAATAAATTTCTCCAAAAACTATTGTGACTTCCTCAGCCAAATATTGGGGTAATCAGAACCCAAAGGACTTGTTTTGGGCTAAACACAAGAGTCGCACTATCTCTCATTCTTGAGCTTCCCTCAAAACTGCTTCTACAACTTAACCTTCTATAGTCTTAAAGATGAACTGTTTTATTTGAAGTCGGGTAAGTATTAAGTTCAATTAAAAGAGGCAGTTGATGGGTGTACATGGTTGATGAGAGATGTTATTAGTATACAATGCATAATTCATCTTTGTATGTTATTTTGTTTTTTGTGATCAAAATCGGTTTTTTTATCTTTTTTGCAGTACTCCGGATTATGTAACTCCTGAAATACCAAATAATTTGAAACAGAATAAGGTGAGATGTGCAGTGCTTATATTAGTCTTGGTTTCTGTTCTTTTCTGTGACATTTTTTTCCTGTTACTTTCTGTAACTATTTTATATGAATTTCTGGTGTTTGAAGCAGGAGAACATTGCTTGCCCAAAATCCCCCGAAAAATCTGTTAGGAACAAGAGGCATAAGCAAGGTAAGTAGAAATTTACTCAAGGTTTTTCTCATCTCTTTTTGGGGCATTTAAATACATACCATCTAATTCCTATATATTTACATATCTAACATCTAACGTTACTCTTTTATATTTATACCTCCCAGATATTATATATCACATCAAAATTACACCTTTTTAAATTTTGAAAAGTGGATTACACCGTTTCATGCATAGGTAAGATGACATGTACGTAAAAATTGAATTTTAGATGTTAGATATGTAAATACATAGGAATTGAGTTATATGTTTGTAAATTTTTGTTTTCCTTGAACCTCATTGGTTTTCTATTTTGATAAGAATGACTAGCCACGTTGGGGGTGCTGTTTTCTATGAAAGGGGTTGATTTTTTGCTTTATATTATTTCACCACAACAAGGAATAATAATGCTTATGTGAGCACTTTCAAGTTACAAATTTCTTTTAGAAATACACATTTCCACTATTTTTATTTTCCTTTGCTTCCCACAAAGCCATCAATGAAGTTTCTAGTTTTCATCACCATTCTTGCATTGTTTTTCTCTCATGAGAATTGATGCTAGAGAAATGTGGAGCACAATCTTGGCTGAAAAATCTTGACCTATATTATCCGAGGCTTTAGGATTTTTTTTTTTTCGTTTAGTAGCTTGAACCTTACTAACACAAAAAATAAGAGATGGAGGAATAGAATAGAGTAGGCGAAAATTTACTCCTCTTATATTACTACAACAATAGCAACAAGAAACTCTCTCATCTTACGCGTCAGTAAAATTCTGATATAACCTATAGACAAAACAAGATCTAACATCATCCATGATTGAAATTTGTAATTTAGAACTTTTATGGTCTTATTAAATCTAACTTCTCCATTCATTGCAACCATTTAATATTTTTTTTCTTTTCTAAAGCTTATTGAGTGTTTCCATTTTCATATCTTTTTTCAACAAGGTCCCACCAAATGCAACAAGTCATGAACTTCAGTTAGAACATTATTGACTCTTGGTGCAAAAAGCTAGAGATGAGTCTCATGCATCACCATAGTGAATTTTTATGATAATCTCATAGTTTATTAACATATTTGTAATGTCATCTATTGTGCTCTTTGTAACCAATTCTTTTAATTATTAAACTACTGTATTCCCCCTTCTCTTATCTTTTGTGTTAGTAAAATTTTGGTATAACCTACACAAATCATGATCTAATATTAGTTGTAATTGAAAAGTGTAATATAAAACTTTATGGTTTTTTTAAATATTAACTTCTCCATTTAGTGCAATCATAGAATAATTTTTGCTTTTCATCTCCTTTTTTATATCTTCTTTCAACAAGGTCCTACCAAATGCAACAAAGCATGAACTTCAGTTAGAGTATTATCGACTCTTGGTGCAACATACTAAAGATAGAGACTAGTCTCATGCATCTCTGTAGTGAATTTGTATGATTATCTCAACAAATCATGAACTTCATTTAGAACATTATTGACTCTTTTAAATCATGAACTTCATTTAGAACATTATTGACTCTTGATGCGACATACAAAAGCCAGAGATTAGTCTTATGCATCTCCATACTGAATTTTTATGATTATTAGCTACTTTATCAACATATTTGTAATGTCACATATTGTGCTCTGTGTAGACCAATTCTTCTAATTATTAAACTACCCCCCTTCTCTATCTTTTGCGTTAGTAAAATTCGGGTATAACTTGCAGACAAAACATGATCTAACATTATTCGTGAATGAAAAGCGTATTCTAAAACTATTATGGTCTTGTTCAATCTAATTTCTCCTTTTAGTGCAACCATCGAATAATTTTTGCTTTTCTAAAGCTTATGGAATGCTTCCATTTTCAGTTCGAGTATTATCGACTCTTGGTTTGACATATTAAAGCTAGAGATGAGTCTCACATAACACCATAGTGAATTTTTATGACTATTTCCTACTTTATCAACATATATAATGTCACATGTTTTACTTTTTGTAAATCAATACTTCTAGTTATAAAACTTTTTGCTTTGACTCAGTTTGTTCTCCACCCAATTCACAATCCACCAGCATTCAACTCCATGAAGAGGATGCTGAACTCAAGTTTGACGAATTTGGCTTCGAAGATCTTAATGAATGCAAGTCGGTAGGACCTGCTTTGGAAAAGAAACAACGATTTGTTTCTCAATCTGCAGTAGCATTGCGGTGCCGAGCCATGCCACCTCCGTGCATCAAGAATCCATATATAATTGAGAATTCATCAATCGAACTCGATGTTTTCGGGGACCGGATTGCAAAAGTTACGGGTATATTTTTCCATTGTATTTTTTTTTCCATTTTAATTAGGGGCATTTACATACATACCAGCCAATTCCTATTTATTTATCTATATAATATCTAACACCTGAACTTTACTTTTTGCACTTATACCACCCAAATCATTCAAATCACATAACAACTAAGTTAAGTGTTGCCGAGAGTGTTGCCGAGATAGAATGATTAGGTGGATGAGTGGCTTTACACTTAGAGACAAAATGCGAAATGATTATATCTGTGATAGGGTTGGTGTAGCCCCAGCAACGGACAAAATTAGAGAAAGTCGTTTTAGATGGTTTGGTCACATTAAACGTCGACCATCTGATGATCCGTCCGAACCATCTGATGATCCGATTAGGTGAGTAGATGTTTTAGATTCGACTTATGTTAAGAAGGACAAAGGTAGACCTAGGAAGACTTAAAAAACGATCTTAATTTATTACAACTAAATGAAAATATGACACTAAATAGGACAGAGAAAAAGGATTCATGTAGCCGACCCCACGTAGTGGGATTAAGGCTTTGTTAAGTATATAACTCCTAAACTTTGCTTTTTACATTTTTACCACCTAAATCTTTCATACCACATAAAATATATAACTATTTTAACTTTTAAAAAGTGAAATATACCTTTTCATGTATAGTTAATTTGGCATATCTTAAAAAATTGAAATTTAGGTGTTAGATATGTAAATACATAAGAATTGAGTGGCATCTATCTAAAATCTTCCCTTTAATTACTATGGAACTGCTGCACTATCCTTGATTTTTTGTCCTGGTTTTTTTTTTTAGTTTTTGAGCATATATGCATATCAAATATCAATTTGAAGATAGAAGAGTATATTAGCTTTAGTTAGAACTTAAGAATATTAACCATTAAATTACAGTTAGTGTTGCTTTTAATAAAACTCGGACCTTTGACTTGGGGTTTTTAATGGTTAATATTTATAAATTTTAACTGTTTATTTGCAGGTTTTTCTCCATCAATTGGTGGTGCACGCTACCGCACTGATTTCCATGAAGTCGAGGTAATGTTGATATGGTTTTTTTTTTTTTTTTTGTGGGGAAATTTTCATAACTCCGGCATAATTTTTATGTATTTACATATCTCACACCTATACTTTCATATTTACATACATAGCATTTTTGTGCTTTAAACTTATGCATTTAAAGGTGTATTTCACTCTTAAAAAGTGATAATAGTGCTATTTTTTATGTGATATTAAAGACTTGAGTGCTACGTGTAAATATGTAAGTTTAAGTGTGAGATATGTAAATACATAAGAATTGTGTGCTATGTATGCAGATGCCCCCCCTTTTTTTAAACCTTTCCAAGATTTACATCAAGAAGCTATCTTTTTTATAGTAACACCCTTTTTATTTTGTCAAAACATTTTCATCAGCAAATTGGCAGTGGAAATTTCAGCAATGTTTTCAAAGCGTTAAAGAGAATAGATGGTTGCCTTTACGCTGTGAAGCATAGTATAAAACAATTCCGTAATGACATGGAAAGGTTTTTTAACTCTCAACTTGACAGCATTAGTTAATTACTGTTCTTAAATTTAAAGGAAGATTTACATACATGCCACACAGTATTTACATATCTAACACCTAAACTTTAATTTGTACATGCATGCCGCTTTGACTATTCATGAGTTGTAATCCACTTTTTAAAAGTAAAAAATGGTGGTATTTTTAATGTGATAGGAAAGATTGGGGCGGTATAAATGTAAAAAAAGTAAAGTTTTAAGTGTTAGATATGTAAATACATAAGAATTGAATGGTATCTATGTAACAGCCGTAAATATTAATTTGTTGCTTTGATTTGGCAGGAGGTTTGCTTTGCGGGAAGTTCAAGCTCTGGCAGCCTTAGGTGTGTTTCCTTTAGCATCCATATCTTTTTTTGCATTTAATAATTTTTTTTAGGGGGGTTTGCAGACATACCACTGAATTCTTACATATTTGCATATCTGACATCAAATTTTTATATTTACTTGTATAAAACCTTAATCTGTTATAATTTAGTAGTATGCATCTAAATCTCTCAATTATTTTTTAATATTGAGATATGTCTCTGCGCTTCTGGCCAGGTCATCATGCAAATATTGTTGGATATCATACTTCCTGGTTTGAAAATGATAAACTCTATATTCAAATGGAACTTTGTGAACACAGCCTATCCAAAGGCTGCATACGTAAGAGTGGAGATGTATTTGAAGTTTTGTACCAGGTACATTTATTATTTGTATTTTGTTATATATATAGATATATATGATCTAGTTGTATATGCGGAACACGACCGCCTTTTTATTTTTCTAGTATATAGTATCGAGAATGATGAATGTTTTTTATTTATTATTGTGTGTTGTTTGTACGGGGACGTGCATGACTTGTAAACTCTTAGGATGGGATGATATTATTATTTAAAACTTTATAATTTATTGCATTAATGTTGTAACGAGTAAAGTGCTAAAATAGTCGTTTGACTATTTACATGGGGTTAATTTAGTCTCAGAGTTTAAAAAGTGCTAAAATACTCCCCAATATTTTAATGGATCTAAAACAGTCCTCCTCGGGCCTATTTTAACTCATTTTAAATTAGTTATGGAACTAAACTTACATTTTTATGAACTCTCGGACTAAAATGACCACTCGGGAGACCACTTTGACAATTTTCTCATTTCATAACATATTCTTTGAAACTTACAGCAGACTGACAATTATGTCTCAGATGTCTACAGCACTGAATTTTATGCACTGCCAAGGCATAGCTCATATGGATGTGAAGCCTGAGAATATTTATGTGAAGCATTGTGTTTATAAGCTTGGAGATTTTGGCTGCGCAATTCTTACTGATAAGAGTCTGCCTATTGAAGAAGGAGACTCCCGCTATATGCCTCAGGAAATACTGAATGATAAATATGAGCATCTTGATAAAGTTGATATATTTTCTCTTGGAGCAGCCATTTATGAACTTATTAAAGGTTCTCCCCTTCCTGAATCTGGTTCTCTCTTCTGTAATCTTAGAGAGGGAAAGATCCCTTTGCTTCCTGGGTATTCTATGCAATTTCAGAATGTGCTGAAGGTAATTGTGCACTCCTTTTTATTACAAGTAATTCTTATGTACTTATATATCTAATAGAAAAACTTCAATTTTTACATGCATGCTATCTTACCTATGCATGGAATGTTGTGTTTTACTTTTTAAAAGTTAAAATTGTGGTATTTTTTATGTGATAGTTTGTGTTAGATATGGAAATACATAGGAATTGGGTGGTATGTATGTAAATGGCCCTTTCTAGTATTTTGTTGGAAAATTTACATACATACCACACAATTCCTATGTATTTATATATCTAACACCTATCTAACACCTAAACTTCATCTAACACCTAAACTTCTATTTTAACATATATGATACCTTTTATACCTTACCTATGCATAAAAAGATGTATTTCACATTTTAAAAGTTAAGATAGTGATATTTTTGATGTGATATGAAAGATTTGGGTGGTATAAATGTAAAAAAAATAGACTTTAGGTGTTAGATATGTAATTCTAGGAATTGGATGGTACAAAACTAAAGAATATCTCATTAGGATGTTAATGATTGGGCCTCTATGTGTTCATGTTTGGCCCGTTCAAATTTTATTTTGTTTGAATTCGACTTGCATTCAATGATGTTTCAAAATATGAATAATTACATACACACTAATCAATTCTTATTTTACATATCTAACACCTAAACTTCAACTTTTTACATATATGACATTTTACCTATGCATGAAAAGTTATATTTCACTTTCTAAAAGTTAAAAGAGTGGTATTTTTTAGGTGATATGAAAGCCTTTGGTGGTATAAATTTAAAACATGAAGTTCAGGTGCTAGATATGTACATACATAGGAATTGGGTGGTAAATATGTAAATGCCCCTTTTTTTCAGTATTTTGTAGATTATTCTGCAAAACTTTGAATCTTGTCCAAATAATCTCGCAGGCTATGATGGATCCTGATCCAGTGAAGAGACCTTCTGCAAGAGAGATAATGGAGAATCCCATCTTTGAGAGGATAAGGAAAACTAAATCAAGAAAGGAGTAACAATATTGTTAATTCTGTTCTGAAATTTGGGGAGCTGAGGTTGGAAGAATAAATTTCAGGTATTAATTGTATTTTTTTGCTAATTATTCAGCTACCATTTTTATGGTATTGTAAAGATGCTCAGTAATTAAGTTTTAACTTATGAGCAGTGGAGCATTGCATTGAGGCATCCTAATCTTTAGAGGTTTATGGAGCAGCTTTGATTTTTGTAAAATTGACCGTTGGAACGCTTTTTGTATTAGGGTTCCTGTTTGGATGAAATGAGGAATATGATTCGGGTTTTGAAAATTTTTAATTGAATTAATTTGCATCTACTTATAATGTTTTCATTTGCATATTAGATTTATTTTGATGGAAAATTTTGGGTCAGGTTTGGGTTTTGTTTTGAGTATAATTACATACGACCGTTCAAAACATTGATAATTATAAATCAACCACCCGGGTGATTTTTTTTGAACTATTGAAACCAATGTATTTACGTCTGTCATGATCAAATTTTATGAATTTGAAAAAAAATGTCTCTTTAATTTATCTTTTTCTTGTATCATATCATGGAGAAAGATTATTTTGGGGCATTTGCATATATAACACACAATTATCATGTATTTATATAAAGGCCAAAATAATCATGACTTTATATAAGATTATTTTAGTCCCAACTTTTATGTGTTAGAATATTTCTCCTTAGTATTATTTCAATTAATATTAAAAAATAAAATATTTCTAAGAGTTACAGGGCCAATTTTGTACTTTTTTTTTTCTTATTTGTATGTCTAACGCTTAAACTTAATGACTTAGTCTCTATGTTTATTTCATATATATGTGGGCGTGGGTTTGTGCAAATTAAATTGGTTGTTAGATATGCAAAAGTAGTAATTGAGTGGTATAAATGTAAATCTTCTTTTATTTTATTAATTTCTCAGCTGGCCAAAATGATTATTTATCTAGAATAAGTTATTTTCAAACCCACAAAATAAACAACTAACTAACTTATCAGAATCAACTGCAGATATGTAGCTGATAGCATAAGTTGGATAAACTACAGTTGCCCCAAACAGACTCAAAATCTACAATTTTATTGTAAAAATTGAAACTTTTTCTCTACAATTTCAAAAAAAAATTTACTTTTTTTATGGTAAATTTATTTGAAGAATGAAGCATTACTCTTATAGTAACAGTGAGCATTAAGAATTTCATAAACCTCATTAAAGCAATAATTATATGCAAAGAACTCAAAATTTAACTATTTACAAAATTGATACACTCTCTAGCACTAAGTTATTAGGTTTATTCACTATTGGTTAAAGAATAATATATACTTGATGAAGTATAATTCTTATT